ATATTCTCATCATATGAAATCTTTCTAAATGACCTACAGAACTGCTGACTGTGACATAGGCATAAAAGAATATGTGAAACACAGAGATTTTTTTTTAAAGTCATCATCTAAAGATAGAAAAAAAGGCACTTCTCTAAGGAGTCAGTGGCTCCACAGGCAGACCTGAGATTTTTCTTCCCTAATTCTCTGTGTAAAATAAACAGATGAAAGCAGCCCACTGCCTCCTTCCAGCACAAGCTCAAATCTCCATCAAGAACTGGATGTGGGACTCACGTTCCCTTGTGTTTGTGTTGGCTGTTGTCTTTCAAAGGTGAGAAGCTTATTCTGAATGGGAAGGGAGCTTCTCCTTCATACACAGACATCTGTCTGGACAGGCACTAGAGTACCATGAGCTGCCATCACTTATGCTCCTCTAGCTGTTGCAGATTGTGCATCAGCTGAAGGAGATTTAGAGGTTTAACCACAGGTGGCTCTGAAACAGTTTACAGTGAAGCCCTGCTGACCGTCACAGGCAGGCATGAGGTTTATTACACAGTTTGGAAGAAGTTTCCCTGCATAACTCAAAGGCATCATTCAATGTAGGCTGAACACTTGCCCTCTTTATTCTCCTGAAAACTGTTCTTGTTCTGCAGCAGGGACATGCTTTCATTTAGGTTACTCGGGACTAGTTGTCAAAACGCTCCCAAAGGCCTTGTGTTGCACAGAGGCAGGCAGTGCTATGAAAAACACAAGAGCTGAGTGAGGGACAGGCATGGCCCCCAGGATGCCTGACGACTCCTCATGTTTCTGCACCTCCCACCATCCCATGGGGCCACATGGCTCCAAACTCCAACATGTTCACAGGTTAGTGGCACTTCTAACGGGACAGCATACAGAGCATTAGGCAGCTGTGATTTAGAGGGTGAGGAAGTAATGATTTATAATAACATTTGAAGCAGGTCATTAAATATGACCCCCTCACTGAAAACCCCATGCCGAGCAAGATATTTTCTTGTAAATGATTTACCAGCAAGCTTTTCATACTTCTGCCGAGTAGCTTTTCCATAACCAAAGTCAGACTTGCTCACATTTCCCAAGCCATGATAATGCTTTTTCTTCAAAATGAGAAGACATCTCAAGCTTGCAGCAAATCAGCTTGGGTAGCTCAGCAAGCAAGCAGAATGGGGGTTGTTTCAAGGATGTAGCTGCTTTCTCTGATCCAAACTTGATTTCATTACAAGTATAGCCAAAAAAATTCTGAAGTGAAGTAATTCGATTTCAGTTTTCTCTCTTTTTCCCCCCCTACAGTGTGCTCCGTCAACTTGACTTCTTATTCTTCTTAGCTCCCAACATATCATCCAAGCACCCACCAGAAATGTGCCCACCATTAAAACTGACTGTTGTCTCTTTGCAATTCAGTTCTTTGGAAGAGATTAGTCTTCAAACATATGGCCACAATCATCACAGTCACAGCTGTAGAAGTGTGGAGCATCCTGCAGGAGGTTGGAAATTGCTCTGCAACATCAGACAACTATGAAAACATCAAGAAAACCTAGTTAAAGGACAGCAGAGCCTGCCTTCCAAAATGGGAATGTGGCAATGGAATGGTGGGAAACTGTTTTCTAATTCTCCTGTCTTTTAATTCTCAGAAGGAAAGTGGCTTTCTGTAGCTTGCTAATGCCTTGACCAGTGCCCTTCTGTTGATTGTTGCTGCTCCTCCTTGGGGTGGCTGTGCCTACAAGTGAAGACAATCCAACTCATGCCAGAGTGCAGCAACAGAATGCCCTGAGGTGTTCCCATTTCCAGGCAGAGAAGTCTGGAAATCTGAAGTGAATGCCATATTGTTCACATCTCACTCTTTAAGGCCTGTACCATGAATAATATACACTCATGCCCTTCTGAGAGGCACAGTGTTTTACAGCATTGCATAGTCTAATCCCAAACTCTTGCTGAAGTTCATGGAAGTAATCTATCTTGGGTTATGTCAGCTCTGGCCCAGGCTTCAGTCTCCAAAGGACAATCACAGCTGAAGATAAGCAAACAAAGGGCACAGTGTTTTGTTTTGTTTTTTTTTCTTTTTAAGTATCATTTTTCATCTGTGTAATTAGAACTGTTTGTTCACAAATGAGGCTGGATAGTATTGCATGCTGCATGTGACAGCATGAGAAACCAACTGTTTGTATTCATTTAGCTAGTACATTTCTTTTCCCTTTTATGGAGATGAAAAAAAAATCCTCTGCCAAAAATCAGAATACTTACTCTCATCATAAAGATATGTTACTTTCTGATACTCTGAACATCTGATGTCCCTTAAGGAAAAAAATGTTTTTTAAAAAAAACACCAAAGAATAAACCTATAGAATGAGGACAGCCTCATTCTTGCTTTAGGACCAGAGGATCAGGATACATGTAAGAAATGTCAGTACTGAAAATACCCACACCTTGATGTCAAGCACTGGATACTCTGTGAGCCTGTTCATATCTACACACCAAGAACAGTGGAATAACAAAATATTTTCAAGAAGGCAGGTAATTATTTCTTTGAGGCAGAAATCTGTATGAACCATCCAAGGCAAACCTATGTTTGTAATCTTATTATTTCTAATAGCTCCAGCTTTGGACAATTATAAGGAAATGAAGCTGCACCAATCAATGCCAGCCTAGTGCAAGCTCTGCAGCTGCTCCAGCACAGTGACGGCCTCGAGCCTGAGACATCCACAGCCACCAGAGAGATGGCTGAATTTACTGGTGCTCAGCAGTGGGCTTTAGGTTCTTAAAAACAAAAGGAAGTCTGTACTGAACTTAAACCTGCCTGATCAACACTTCTGGCAAAGACCACGACATGGAGGCTTAATGCTGAAGAATCATTCCCAGAATTGTAGGAGAGGAAACATGACAAGGATTTAGGTACCAGCAATCAGCAACGGGCTGATGCTCTGCCCTGCTCGGACACCAGCCCTGATCCACCTCAGCCCTCAAGCACACTAGCAGGATGGAACGTGGAGTAGCACGATGCAATGGGACCACGTGCGTTAGCTCAGATACTGAAACCGTGCCCAAAGGGCCCTGTAACTGAGTGCGGTACCGCCCTGCGGCCACGTCGGACATTGCAATCTCCGTGCGTTGTAAAACGAATTTTTTTTTTTCCTATGGAGATGTGGTGCCAACAGATGGAGCTGTTCAGAGCAGAGCCTACTCGCTTTGACAGAGCACGGAAAAAGCTGTAGACAAGGATGGAATTCTAATTATTAAACATAATTAGAGATGAATCATCACCAAGCAGGAGATACACTCTATTTACTATGCTAAAATGAAAAATAAGCTTGTCAACAAAGCTATAGCCCAGGATGGGGAAATCTCAGCTCCACGTGTGAGGATGTTCACTCCCGTGAGACTGGAAAGGCTCATCACACCTTATCAAGCAGAGGGTTGGAGACTCGCAGGCTCAGCTTGCAAAGCTCTCAGTGCAGCACTACCTCACCAGGGAGCACACTGGGAGGAAAGAGCCTCTATTATTTGTTACAGCCCAAATCAAATGTCCTTGGTATCCTTATTTACACATCACAAGGTAAGAACGAGGTCTTGCAGCCTTTCTGCTGTTGAAATATAAATAACCAAAAAACAGAATGATGAGGAAATCTCAGTTCTCACTTGAAAGACTTCTTTGGGATTTTTCAGGGTGAGGAGGATTCATTAGTTATCAGGTAGGGGAAAAAGGCTTGTGTCTTCTTTCCAGCCACAGGAAAGACTTCAATGAAGAAACAAAATATTTAATCTTTCTGTTATATGCCCTGTTCCAAAAAGCCAATCTATCTATATTTATACAATGGATGCAGAGTTTGTCATAGCTTTTTTTAACTACCTGAACACTGTTTTTAGCAAAAGGATCGCACGTGCAGCAACTGAGTGACATCACTGATAGAGAATTTGCCAAGCAGAAAAGCTAAACTTGTCCACTTCAGAAAGCAGCTGTGCTTCCTTCATCATTCTCATCATCTGCCCTGCTACCAGCAGTCTCCAGGGCTGCAGTGCCTTCTTCACACACTATTCAGTGTAAAACTTGCCATATCGTATAATAGATTAGATCATTGCCAATTATGAAAAGTCCGGAAAAAAAAAGGCAAATTAAGTGTTTAAAATCAATTTTTGCACCAGCCTAACAGCCTAAGTTCTTAATTATGAATCAAGCTGTTCCGGAGCACACAATGGCAGTTGAACATGAAGAACAGAGATGAGTACTTAAGTGTTGAAAATCCACCCTATTTCTTCAGACATCTGAACACATTCAGGTGCCACATCCTTGCAGGGTCCATACAGACATCCCTATCTGGGTTTGTCATCTCCCCAGTTGAAGCAGAATCTTCATTTTAAATAAGTTTCTATGCCTCTAGAGATGTTTAAAGTGAAAATAATTTTATACTAGCAAAGCAAAGAAGGCATCTTTGTTTCAGAATCAAAAACAATTCCAATAAAAGAAATACCAAAGGAAGAAAACAGAATCAGTTCATACCTCAACTTATAACTCTGAGTCACAATTTGGCCAAGAAAACAATTCATTTGCCTTCTGCCCCTCACATATTTTTTTTTAACAGTAAAACTCCCCCTGGGTTTTTGTTTACCACTTACAGTTGGGACTTTCCTTACTTTGAGTTCTCTTGTAATTTAGGCAACTCCCTCATGCTGGTCAAGACTCTTGAAACTTACCTGAAAAAACTTGTGTGATGTGCAAAGAGTACACCCAAAAATGATGCTTTTTCTATCCTGTTCTCCTCCCTGAAGAACAAAGTGGTTTACAGCTTTCTGATTGTAACTTTATTTCAAATCATGTATCATAAGGCCTCCTCTGCTGTGCCTGGCATTGTTTGTCTTCTGGTTAGCTAATTTTCTTTCACAGAAATTACACGATGCATTAATGCACTAAGCATGGGGTTTGAAACAATCTCCCTTCCCTCCTCAGACACACACATCATTGCTTTCAAAGGCCTTCATGTCACAGCGCTGACCGTTAATTACCTCAGTACCTGGCATGCTCTTATCTCCTCAGAGGAGTTCACGCCTTTGGAAAGGATTGGAATCCAAACTTCAGAAACAATTTCTTCATCGGATTGAGAACTGCACTTCACTAGACTCGATTCCTGCAAAATCAGGCAAAGAATGTGATTTTATGAACATATCAGTTTTATTTTTCCCCAACAAAATTTGCAGTGCGTTGTAGCAGTGACTCCCTGAGAAGCAATATCCAACAGAAGTGCTAATCACAGTGAGCACAAAGCGAGGGCAGCTTCACTCTATAACTAATTTAACAATAAAAGGGTTATCCCACCTTCCTGCAGCCCTGTGCTCCTGTGTTTCCTTGAAAACAGGCCTACCAACCCTGCAGCTGCTAGGCCCAAAATGCAGCTCACTGATGCAAGAGAAAACTGAGCTACCACAATAAATGGTCATCTGCAAAACTTTTCTTCAGGATTTGGCCTTCAGGAAGTTCTAGGTGCAATGTGCATGTGCAGTGCACTGCTTTGCTTCTCACTTCCCCTCAACGGGGATGGAAATTCAGATGAAATTACAAGGCGGAGATCACTTACCAAGCACCATCACCAGCAAAACAGACTTGGGTAAAACGCTTAATAACATGTGGCCAGTGAAAATATGTTTGCTAGTGAGAACACCAGCTTCCCTCAGCCTGCTTCCTCCCCACTCTTGCCCTGCTCCATGTGGGTCTTTCTCACAGGCTGCAGCCTGGAGCACCCCTTCTCCCCTCACGCCTTGCTGCCTGGTGCCATTTTGTGCTTCCCTGAGTGCTGCTGAGGGAAGCATCTCACCCAAGATGGCGCCCTCGGAACCTTCCGGAAGTGACCCAAAACATGTAACAACATTTCTATTTCAGTGGTAGTAAGCACAGACTTTACAGTCCAGGCTGGTATGGTGGTTTTTTGGCACTTCACTCTGAATATGGTGGTTTTACCACTGGTAAGCTGGATAAAGCAAAAGCAAATCCTTGCTAATGTTTGTGCTGTACCTCGCAGTGTATCCCATACTACTGCAGTACATCTTCAGGGAAGCAATTATCCCCTTTAGAAAAAATATTTAAACTATAAAGAAGTGCTGAAAGTCCTTGGCTAGCAAAGAGCTCCATCTGCAGCAAAGTTATAGCCTGACTTCAAATTGTTTAAAACAGGAAAGTCTGCATGTTGGTTCTTCCACCTAACTTCTCAAACTCAGCACACCCACCAGATATTCCCAGATAATCCAGAAAAATAAGCATCAGTCATCCAAATATCTTGCTCAATCTCATTTCTGAAGTCTCCAGTGTTAGCATTAAGGGACTTATAATGTTTGACTCCTCCGAGAGAAACACTTCAAAGAGTGATGTCCTGGCTCTGCCAAAGCTCATGGCTGAGCTCCTAGTGACTTCACTGGAGACACGATCTCATTTCAAACATTTGCCTTCAACTAATGCTTTCTGAGAATTGCATTTTAGCAACTTCACAAGGCCTTTTGTTTCAGAGAGCTAAGGTAGTTTCTTTCCACGTAAGTGCATGGATGTTTACACCAGTGTGATGGAGTGTAATACATTGGGCAACGCTAGCCTAAATATCTATTACAATATATTGTAGCTGACTGATAGAATCCCAGAGGGAGGGGGGGTGGGGGGGGATATAAGCTGCGGAGTTTCTTTGTTAGTCTGCCTGGATGCCTAGTTGATATACTTCTGCACAGCGTGCAGACGGGGGTTAACCACACAAGGATATGTCACCCATAGTCCTCTGCAGGTTTATACAGACTCCAGCTGAGCATTGGTACTGTTTTCTCCCCAGGCTAGCTGGAGCCTGCCCCTCCACATCACCCCCAAGGGACTGGTGATCATAGTAGCTTTTGGTGTAGGTTGGTTTGTCTCAAGCTTCTCATATACTATTTAAGAAGCAAGATAAAGCAGTTACTTCAAACTCTTCTAGCCTGGACACCATGCTTACAGACTCATGCTATCTGTAGTATCTGAGGACTTCCTGCCTCCCTTGGCCTATTTCTACAAATCTGAGCAGAACCACACATCTGACAGCTACTCATTGCCTACAGGCCCGTACAACCTTCATCCTGGGAGTTACTCTTACCCTTGAGACCAGCAGCCAAGATCCAGGAGACACTTAAATCACCACAACACACATGTGCTCTCTTGTGCAGTAATGCATGTCAGGATGCATTACTGGGTGCAGGAGAGTTGGCTACAGATACTGCAGCATCTGAAGACTGAGGAGAGTGGTCAGCTGGCACTTCTGTATTGGGATGGGGAGCACAGAAAGAAGAGCACAACCTTGCAAGGAATTGTGAGCTTAAAAGAAGTGAAAGTGAAAGTGAAAGAGCGTGTTTAGTGAAAGAGCGGAGGGCATGGGACATAAAATACATGTATTGCATTACCATCACATAAAAGACTTCTGAGGCAACCAAAGGTGTTGTGGTCAAGATACAAAGCCATGGGAAAGCAAGTCTCACCATGGCAGTTGCTTTCATGTTCACAATTTCACATGGTTTGTTTAGGCACATGACAGACATTTATTGGGCTCAAATCAATATTAAGTGATCTAGCCAATTTTTATGGGGATTTAGGTTAGGTAGAAGATGAATACTGCATCACTATTGGTCCTTAAACAATAAAACCACTCCTCAACTCTGTACTATGCTGTAATGGAACAAATGATCAAGCACCGGGCTATTAGAGCAGAACAGCCTGCAACTCCTACAGTTTTCTGTTTAAAAAAAAAAAAAATGGAGCAAAAAGAAAACAGCTCTTATTAATCAGTGGTGCTGTCTATAGAGCCATTAGAAATTATGGTGGCTGCATCTATTCCACTTCTAAAACCGTAATATTCAGTGGTTTCGGACTCCTTATCCAGACTCTACTATTAACTTCCATTTTAGTTAACAACAGCAGTTACCACAACCTTGTTAATAACCTCAATAATTTTTTAACTATCTTTGCTTCCTCCTCCTTCAGCCACAGCATCTCCCATATCAACCTGTACATAGGGAATGCCTACAGTTTCATTGAACTGGGCTCCCTCTTCCTTGCCAGTCAAATCACTTTCATCTCACACCCTTTCTAGAGATTTGTTCATAAGCAGAGAAACATACTCTTCATAACTACAGAATACACAAAGTGAAATTCAAATCACCACTACACTTTACTGTGAGAGGCTATTACAAGCTTTTAGAAGTAAAATTTATTATAACAGATTAGTGACTACTCTGGCACCAACTTGTCTGCTACAAAATAACCAAGGACATGTAATTGTGTGTTTGAGTATAAAATCAAGAGTATTCAAATTGTTTGTATTTATATGCATTTCATCTGGTTATCCTTCCTTTATAATTTTAGACAGCTACTACCACCAACTTTGTAATTTCCTCTTGGACTGTATTTGCTTGTGCCAGTGGCAATGGTTACTTGTCACGTACAAGAGTTTACAGATCACTTCATTGCTAAGTGTCTGTCCTCACCACTTACTTTTCATTAAGCCCTTTTGAAGTCCAAAATAGACCTGGAAGCAGAATTAGACCCACAATTAAGGTAGCTTAAGAGCTCTCATTTGGCTGAAGTGGGAGTAGGATGATAGGAAGCTGTGCTCCTGCCAGTCTTCATGATTACTGATACAGAAATGCAAATGTCCTAAGACAGTTTCCTTCTCATGAGTACTAAAGGTATAAAGTCAGCTCTGTACCTGGTTTGTGCTCTGTACCTTTCTTGTGATTCTCAGGACAAGAATGTCTTTTTCCTCTAGCCAGATAGAAGGAAAAGTTGGACAATGAAAAGAGACATGGCTAAAGTTCAAACAATAACACCTGCATAATTCCACAAAGAAACCTGGCTTTTTTCCACAAAAGTTGCTTAGGAAGTAATTGATTGGAATATTACATAGAAATGAAAGCAAAAGAAAAGCTAAGCACACTGATTTTTGAGTTACAATTATATATATATATATACACATATGAGTATGTACGAATACACACAAAAATAAAATTCTGAGATAGTACATGGGAAAAAGATCATAAATTGGCATCCTGGTCTCCATAAGGAGACATTAAGCAAGTAAGTGGAAGAAACAACTTATCAATTTACACATTGCACAAGCCCTTCTGCATTCCTTGTTACATAAAAGTGAATTCATGCCAGTGTTTCTACAAAGGCAATACTGAAAAGCAATTGAATGGTTATCACCATCGCTTTAACTTCTGCAAGAAATATGCCATTTTCAAATATGGGTACACACTAACTCACAAGAATTATAACTATTCTTCACACATTATACAGTGCAGCACCCACCAAATCACTTAATGTTGTATGTTAGAGAAATTTCAATGGCTCTGACAACTAAACTTCATTGTTAGAACATTTCTGAAGTGTTGTACTCTGCACTGTCAAACTTTAACTTGTGTAAACCACTACACTTCTTCACTCTATCTGACCAGACTTTGGCTGTACCTTCAAGGATACGGATAGACACCTCAGCACAAACAACTTTAGACAGATGCATTCCACTTTTTGGTTTTGCAGCCTGAAAAGCTTGTTTCATATTATCTACAAGTATTCATAGAGATATCTTAAACTACAGGACTACACTGATGTCATGATTAAAAAAAAGAACAGACACAAATAAGAACATATCTCAATGTATTATTTAACATAAGAGTGAAAATGAATTCAGGCTACTAAAATAACGTATTAAGATTGTTATCCAAGAAACATTGGTACTACAATCAATGTAACCATTTAATCAGCAGTCAAGTAGGTCTGTTATAGGCAGGCACAACATTACAAAAGAGGATAGTACAATGCCCAATTAAGCGAATACAGTTTGAATACCTATTCATCCACTATTTCTGAAAACAGAATTATCAAATATCCACCAGGGAAAAAGATGAACTAATTTAATTTTTCTTTGGCATACTTATCATGACAATGAAGTAATTACAAAAGTCTTCTATTGCTGCCAGTGCTGTGAAGAAAGAAGTACCGAGTGGAAGATTGTATGTGAGAAGTCACTTTTAGGACAGGCGATCTGGCTAACATATCAGAACTGGTGACAAAAGACAGTTCAGCTGCCAACGCTTCACAAGGCAGACAAGGTTTACACTGTTTTATACTGCAGTTTTGTTGAAGGTGTAAAAAAATTACAGTAAATTTATGCACAGTACATATATATTACACACAGTTATATAAATACCCATGCTGTGGCTGGACTTTAGGAAGTTGCTTTATCCGTAAGAAAGCTAGTATCAGAATTCCCAGCATCCATTCAATACACATTGCACTTTGCATCCAGTAATATGCTCATTTCTGTACCTCTCTTAAAAATAGATTTAAAACAGAAGCAAAGAATAATATTGAATCTTTCCATAAACTTTGTTTTCTTATTTACATTGTAATATTCCATTATACATAAAGACTGCATTACGATACATTATCTTCATATAGCATTTTGTAATAGATACAGCTTGAAGCTATTAACATCTTAGTTTGGAAACAGAGATATGACTTATAAGATTATTTAGAACAATTCTAGCCTTAATTTTGCTCTAGTTTGTTTCACTGAAACCATTCTTTGACAAAAAAAATTCCTCCTTATTGGGGAGGAAAAAAACAATCCATGTTTAAACCACCACTGGATTTCCTTAAATCACTGAGAAACTTTGAAACCATAATCATTTTTGCATACTTATATATCCACTTCAAAGGCCTGTTCCTTTCAAATTTAGAACATGAATGACAATTGTGACCACATTTAAATTATTATTTCGTTTTAACTTTCAGATATTTTTCAAACATAAAACAATGAGAACGTAATCACTAATCATATATAATCTTTGTACAACTGGGAAGAGGTCCTATTTTATCAGGGAAAAAATAAACATGCACACACTCCCATTCACAGAGTGAGAACATAAACTACAGCAGCACTTGTCTCAAGTTATGGAGCACATGGTGGCAATATGGCGTATAAAGCAAGAGTAGAATTTCCAACATTTGTTACGACACACAAAAAAACTTATTGTAGAAAACGTCATTCACATTCTTTGCAATGAAGTGAAGAATCAACTGTTCAGCTTTCTGGGCTCTCCAGTCGGCAAACTCCTCCTTCTATTGCTACGGACTGTCCTGCCACCGCTCCAGGAGGAAGTCTTGAAATGTGAGTCTGTGGGAAAGTCAAGAGAGTGTTACCAAGTACGATGAGAGGCAAAATTATGCAGGACACAGAGCAAGCTTGCAAGTATTGAACAATTTACCTGTTTAATGATTGCAGCCCAAAGGACAAATGACAAAGAAACTAGAAAAGCTGTAAGCAATTTGGATTCTTTTACATTTTGTTTGTCTTAGTGTTTAACACATGAAGAGAATGACCATGACAGATGTGTAGAAAAGGTAAACTGAATGACTCAGTTCACTGAAAATAGAAGAAAGAATTATTCTGTATCAAAACAAAAGAAAAATAACTGTGAAATTCCATGTTTATTAGCCTATTCCTTAGGAAGATACAAAGAAAATCAGCACTGTATACAAAAGTATGGTTTACAGAAATTCTAGATAAAGATATTTGACAGAGATGAACTCGTACTTTATTGTATGTGACAACTGCAATGATGAAAATATATATAAAAAAATAGTACCCCAAAACCAATTGTGTTTCTGTCAAAAGGCATCTTTTCCATGGAGAAAACTTGCTTATGTTTTCATATGCACTGTTAATTTTGAGCTACAGCAGAGCCATTTTCACATATATTGGTTGCTTTAATATAGGCCAAGGGCTAAATCAATGTTTAACCAAGGCAGTGAAAAGACTCAGAAGCATGTTTCTACAAACTTTGTTGCTTCCAAGTTTCAGAGCTGCTGAATAGGTTCTGGTAAAACATAAAAAAGAGCCTTAGTGAAACTCTAAAATGCAGTAGGGCTGAAAATAGCATTTATCTGGGTTTGAGGCAGAAAGTTGAGGCAGCTCAAGCAATGCTATAGCCACCCCTCTCACTGAAGCAGGAGCACAAGTCACACATTTCATCAGGTGATTCATTAATGCTCCAAAAACTTCCTAATTATTAAATTAGGAAGAAGAAATGATTCCTACTACAACAAAGCTACAACAGCGAAGTTACTGGTGTGAGAAATTACAGCTTTCTCTAAGCACAGTCAACTATATATTTACGTTTTTGTATGTACCTTATTCCCTTTAAAAGGTTTAAGTGCTGAAAAATGTATAACAAGCAACGAGGCAATGGGTTGTAAGGGAGTTGGAGTAAATGTCCTTCAAGGACCCACTTCCAACCCAAGCCATTCTATGATTCTGTGATGTTAAAAGTCCCACAAGTGTAATTTGCATCAATTGAACAGAAAGTTATTTGATATTATAACCACAATTCATTGCATCCCAGAGAGGTTTTGCGGCTTAGATACAACTTCTTTCAATTCCCTTCTTGAACCAGAGTATCCTGGTTTCTGCTCTTAGGTGGTCAAGTTTTCAGTTAAATTACAGAATGATATTTAATTAAAAATATTTAAAGGTTTTCATTTTACTGCTAAACTTTGAGCTCTGGCGTTTGTGCTTGATATATGAATATCTTCCTTCTTTCAGAAAAATTTTGGTTTTTATTTACTATTTCAAGAAAAAAAAGATCTTTTCAAATCCCTTACCTTCTCTTAAATGTAATTGACAACTTTATAATTTTTAAGATACTGTCTCCTAAGTTAAAAAAGAGGGGGAGAGAGAGAGAGAGAGAGAAAGAAAGAAAGAAAAACAAATAAAAGAAGGGTATTTTTCATTTTTAAGGCCAAAGGACTGAAGACATTTTTCCAGGCCTGTGAACATTTCTAAATGAAACGTGGGATAGGATGACAGTGTAAAAACAACATTATTCAAGGGGCACCATAGCCATCTTTCCTCAGCGGACAAATGCCACTGGTTTTTCAGTGAGATTCTGCAATCAAAGCAAACCTGTAGTCTAGACTAAATCAAGCATCATTTCTAAGTGAGATTGCTTACACAGCAATCTATCAGAATTATTAGCAGAACACAGCATCAGGACAACAAAAAGCACAGTGGCACAAAGATGATGTCAAGAGGTATAACAAGAAAACACTACCAAAACAGAAGAAATATCAGCACTAGTGTGATTATCACAAATCTTATAATTATTTTTTTCCATCATAACTACAACAGATCTTACTTTATTTGTGTAAATTAGCTTTTTCACCAAAATGGCTGGACTCGATGATCCTTATGGGTCTCCTCCAACTTGGGATATTCTACAGTTCTAGGGTTATGAATTAATTTTTTACTCAGGCTTGAGTTAACTCATAAGCCAAAGATAAATGCCTAGTAATTTTTTAAAAGTTAGCTAAGCATAATATCTCAGTAAGATCTTGAGTAAGGAAAGGAAAAAAATCCAAGAGAAGAAAAACAGATACTTAATGTCTATCAGTGTATTATCAAGTACCTACATTTAAATAGATGTCCAAAGCATACAAAAACATACTTCGTGTAGAAGGAAAAAAGAGTTATCATCTATAAAGAGACAAAACCAAAAAATCCAGCACCATATAGTAGCATATGTACACTTCCATTTACAGAAACATCCAAGCCACATAACTAAGTCTTTCTTACAGCCTTAACTGAACCTTTTTATTTGCATACTTTGTATGACCAAGCAAACACAGACAGTGTTTTACACTGACTTTTTACTTTCACTAGTGTCTGTCTTATGTAGAGCAAAATCCCTAGATAGGAGATGATAGTATTTAAAATTCGTTAATTAATAAGTAGTATCAAAGGATAAAATTAACATGTCAAGACAAATTCAGATAAACTTCCAAGTGCATTCTTACAATTATATCTCCTTTGTTCCTAGCCATAAGAATGAACTTGAGTAAATAAAAATAAACTTCAAAGAACACTGAAGACATTTAAAATGCAACCACAGAACTTATTTGTAACGTTTGTTACATTTCTATATCCCCAACATCATATTTTACATTAAGTCCAGATTGCACAATGTATTAGACTAGACTGAAAATATAAAAATATTTTTTAAAATACAACAACAAAGAAACAAAAAAGAGAAACATTTGAAAGCTTTTGGTTGATTTGATTAATACATCAGCTTTACAATCTGAATGAGCCCACATCTGGAGAAAATTGAACAAAAATAGGAAAAGAAGAATTTTTTTTTCAGAATTAATCCTCCATCGAGCTTCAAAGAAGCCTCTCCTTGAAAAAACAAGAGCATGTTGAGGAAAGGTAGGTCAAGAATGACAAGGCTATCCAGATCTTTGGCTCCATAAATAGAAATTTTACTGTCCCTGAGAAAATGTTTTGATTTGTTTCCCTAGGGAAGAAAGCGAGGTTGGTGCAGGCCTTGTAGAAGCAGAGAAGACAAATGCTAGATTAAGTACTTGATTTTGATTTTTTCCCCCCACCTATATAGCACAACCAAGCCATCAGATACCGATTCTTGGCGTGTATGGACTTACCATCAAAAAACTAAATAAAACAAAAATTAGTCCCTCTTTTCCGTCTAACTAGAACAAAATGGTGGAGCTACTAACTCCTCCAGCCCTGCTTCTACAGACACTGCCTGCTGAAAGTTACTGTCTCTCAGTTCCTTTTGATGTAAGCTGGAAAGCTTCCCATTGCCCTGTAAGTCCAAAACTAATCAGTCATCCTGTCCCAGAATAAGTGTTAACTGCTACAGGGACAATATATGATTTCATCTTTTCATCAAGAACATTTGATAAATTTTTAAAGTTACGTATATTTTGTATAATTTTTTTTAAAGTACTACAAGTTATGCCAAGACTTACTTTACTTCACGTCTCTCAAATAAAGTCTCTGAAACAAATTCGAGGCCAACTAATACCAAAACCTTTTCTCCTTTAGTGGTTAAAGACCTAGTTTTCTCCTTTTATTCACATTAGTTTGTTACAACAGCTTCTTTTTTTTTTTTCATTAGAAGCATACATACAGTGTAGAATTAATATAATACATAAGCCAAAAGACAGACAACTCTGCATGAGAAAACTGAAGGCAATCAAATGCTGCCAAGGGAACAGAGTACAACTACCAGATGGCAGCACATTCAGTTCTTAAGCAAGTCAAGGGAGTACTTCATGTGTTTAGTTTTCTTATTACACGCTCAGGATGTGCTTTGGATGGAATAATTCATAAAATAAACTTTTTCCATTCATTACACTATTGAGATGAAACATAATGAAACAGAGACTGAGGACGTCATGTATGAGGGCTGGTCCAAAAGTAATGCCTCGTATTTAATTATTGATGGCCCACAACGTCAGAGGTGGATGTTGGTGAGATGGCAGTAGAAGTTGAACCTTTGCACCAATATCCTGTTACATGCTGTTGCTGTGCAACGGATGGCAGCAGAGGGGCAGTGTGACAGAATGGTTCCTGACATGGAAGCACGTATGAAGCAAAGGTGTGGAACTGAATTCCTCCATGCAGAAAAAATGGCGCCCACTGACACTCATCAATGCTTGCTGAATGTTTACGGACAGCAAACAGTGAATGTGAGCGCAGTGAGGCGGTGGGTGGTGCATTTCAGCAGTGGTGACAGCAAAAGTGAAGGGTCATCTCTGCTGGTGCATATCTTTACAGGTGCAGAATACAGGCTATTGTTCATAGCTAGACAAAATGCAGAACTCATAGTGTCTGTGTTGAAAAATAGCATCTTGTAGCTGAGCATTTGCTCTATTAAATAGTACTATTGAGCTCTATCTGTCATAGTTTCCAGGGAAATACATAGGAGGCATTACTTTCAGAGAAACTTAAATACTTATTTAAATCACTTTCTATCACTTTACTCGTTAAACAAAAGGAATACCAAATCCATATATTGTTTAGAATCTCAGAATCACTCATAGGTCTACACACAGATTGTTTAAGAGGCTAGCAGATCTCCTAGCTCAAATTCATTCCATGGGTCAAATGTATTATTTCACACAATTTGTGCATCTATAAACTTCACTGTGCCGCCTTAGAAAACAACGGCAGTTCAAGAAAGTTGAAAACCAAAGCATTTTAACCTCTTCATATGATTCATACGCATATTTTATCTGAAGCTGTGTACCAACTACAGATCTAATCAGCTCACCACTCCTGGCTATTGTAGAGATATTCTAAAATAGTGCCAT